GATCCTCCTGCCTCAGCCTCCTGAGTGCTGGGGTTACAGGCGTGCACCACCACACCCAGCGCAACACACCACGTTGCCTTTACACAAGCCTGGTGGTCTCTGCTGGTCTCTGCCTCAAGCCATTCTGTGAAATGGTCTATCCCATCCCTTTAGCAGGAGGTATCGGTGGGGCATGTTCCCTTAGAACTGGGTAGCACTGGGGCAGGCGTCCCTGCCCTCCCATGCGATGACAGAGTTAGCTCCTTTATCCTTCTCATGCAGGGGAAGCACTTCCCGGAACTCAAGGGCTAAGGAAGGGCGGGACACTGTGTATGACCATTCATATGAGGACACAAGAAGAAGAAACACTGATGTTAAGTTCCCTGACTTCACCGGAGGTGAACTGTAGAACAGCCTTGAGGGTGCTTCAGTCAAGGGTTCCTGAGGGGAGATAAAGTAATAAGCCAGGCGGAAGGACTCACTGAGCCCGAGGAAGCAGCAGACAAAAGGCCGCTGAGGCTTCGTGAAAACCACTTCCCTCCCGGGGCACCTGGCGGATTTTGTCTGAAGCTCTCATTTGAGCTGGCTGAGGTATTCCACACTTTCGTAACCAATTCTGTTGACTTTAGGCATTAATAGGGCTCCAGCCGTGTGAGCCCTTGTTTTGTAAGAAAGGCGATCAAATTCTGCAACCAGGGGCTGGGGATTTAGCTCAGCGGCAAAAGCGCCTGCCTGGCAAGCGCAAGGTCGTGAGTTCGATTCCCGGTACGGGGGGCGGGGGAATAAGGCAAGACAGAGCAAAGAATAAAGCAGTTTGGCTCCCAGGGAGGAGATCTTGTCTCTGGAGACACAAGGTAAGCCCAGAGGGGGTCCACAGCTCCAAGCAGAAACCACAGGCCAGTGGCAATGCCGCCTCCCAACCCCACCGTTACCATCAACTGCGAATGCAGTGCGGGGTTTTACTTTGCAAGTGATTTCTTCCACGTGGCCGGCTAGTTGGGGAAATCCATTCGCATCCGCCGTACTTGGGAGCGATCTTGATAAAGGAGAAATGTAACTCCCGAGCAGCTAGAGGTCAGGTGTGCCCAGTTGTGTCCTCTGAAATCAAAGAAGCAATCCCAAAGGTAGAGGAGGTTGAGCTGGAGTTTATTGGGGAACAGGAATAGCTCCTGAGAGACAGGGTTCCGAGTGGGTGGCCACCGAGGGAGGCCCTTTCTCGGGGATAATCGATACAGCAGTCCAATGCGGGCACCACGTGGGTGGAACTACCGCTAACCTACAGGGCTGCAAGTACAGCCGCTTAGCTAAAACTGGCCCAAGAGGGAAGCACGGCACGTAGCAAGGGCACACGGCTGGCACCATTAACCCCGGCTTCCTGTGACTACCACAGGTACATTTGGGGAAGGGCTGGGTCCGGGGGTTCCCATCGCCCACGGGTGTCTGAGGCATGTCTAGACTTGATGGACTGGGTGCACTAATCCAGTGCAGTCCCAAGTTCTGCTTTTCCCTCAGGGAAGTGTGCAAGTCTGGCGGCTGTGACTTTGAGGCCTTTCCTTCCTCAGACGCACCTCCGGCCATAATTTTTTCTTTTTTTTTTGTCTTTTTGAGAAAGGGTCTCCCTATGCAGTTCAGGCTGATCTTGAGCTCACTTTGTAGCCCAGACTGGCCTCAAACTCACAGCGATCCTCCTGCCTCAGGCTCCCGAGTGCTGGGATCACAGGCGTGCGCCATCACACCCCGCACCTCCAGCCCTAATTCTGATGTCTTCTTCATTTTCACTGACTGGAGAGCCCAGCTCCTCTCTGTGTATTAATTTCTAAGCTAGCTGCCTGTAATAATGTGATCAGGAGCCATTTTGGAAAGGCGTTTATTAAGACTGAACTACTCTGGGAATCGGAAGTCACAGAACCACCTCACTGCAGGGCCCCTGGGGGTTACCCTGCCACACAGACTGGGTGGGAGATGGTCACAGAGACCTCGGAGAAGGGGCGGGCTAGCGGTGGATCCCCTGAAAAGTCTGAGTAGCCGCGTGCTCAGGCTGTGAAGGACGTGGCGGTACTGGCCTCTGCGGGAAGCAGCCAGCTGGGCTGTGTGGAGTTTTGAGGAGTGGCTGTGTCTCAAAGTGCAGTATTTTGATTATGTAATGGTGCTTTCCCAGAACGGGAAATTAAATTAGCAGAGAAACTATTTATTGTGGACATTTTTTTTTTTTTTTAATTTGGTCGTGTTGGGAGTGGAACCCTAACCTCTTGCATGTTAGGCAAATGGTCTGCCACTAAGCTATATCCCTACTCCTTTCTGAGACAAGACTGAGACAAGATCTCACTAAGATGCCCAGGCTGGCCTGGAACTTGTGATCCTCCTGCCTCAGCCTCCCGTTCAGCTGGGATTACAGGTGTGCACCACCATGCCTGACGGTGGACAGACCATATGTAGCTCATTAACATATGTACTATTGCACCCCACACAGTTACCACTTAATAGCCATCCTTAGCATCTAAAGGTTATACTGTTATTAGTAGTCATCATGTTGTACCCTGGAGCGCATTAACTGATTCTTCCCCACTGAAATTTTGTCTTCTTTGACTAGCACTGACCCTGAAAGCCACCCGCCCACATGCTCCAGCTGCTGGTAAGCACCATTCCATAAAGAGGGGTTAAGTGGGTGGGAAAGCTGATAAAGGTTAACCATTCAGCTTGGCAGAGATGAATCAGAGTCACATTTTGCCCGCACTTTTAGCTTGTACATAGGACTGGTCCGGTAAGAGCAGCGCTTGGTCAGTGTTACATGTATAACCCAGCATCGCCCCGGGTGCTTTAAAGAACATTTATACACACACACAGACACACACAGAGTCACACACCTTGTACAGAAATGATTTTTAAAAGTCACATCTATCTCAAAAGATTATCCGGGCACTGGCGAGGCTGAGGCAGGAGAATTGTCATCAGTTCGAGGCCAGCCTCGGCTACATAGTTCAAGGTCAGCCTGCACTACATAGTGAGAACCTGTCTCAAAAAAAAAAAAAAAATTAAGCTAACCTTTATTATTCATTAGAAATGAGCTCTCTAAAATATTAGTAAATTTCAGTTTTAGTTCTGTTTTGAAGCGTTGGTACCACTGAAGTAACATTTTTCTTCTTTGAATCTTTTCTTGTAAATTCATGGTTTTCTCTTTTTCTAAAATGGCAGGAAGCTCCTTCCAGCTCCTAACGAAGATGAAGGGGGCGCCCATGGACTTGAGGAGCTGCAAGGGGGCGCGGCGGTGCACGGACGCGTTTCCGCAGCCGCCGGCCGTCATCACGTCCTCCACCACGGGCACGGAGCCGGAGGAGCAGGCCTCGTAGATCCGGTAGCACTCCGTGTTGACGCCCGCCGGGCACAGCGTGAGGTCGCTCCGCAGCAGCGCGTCCTGGTAATTCCTGAGGCTCTCGTTCGTTTCCTGGGGCTGCCACCTGGAAGAGCAGCGCAAACAGCTGTAGGTTTCACTCCGCGCATCTTTTGGGAAAGGAGGTATTTCTCTTTATCGTCAGTTACAGGAAATGGTAAAAACATCAGAGATGATGGCGAAACACATTTCTTAAAAATACTTAAAAAACCTGAACACCTTACAGCTGCATATTGAAGGATGTGGGGGTACTCGCTGAATTCCTCAATCAGTAGTACCAATTCCACTCCTATTTTCTCAGCGCCCGGCCCCCCCTTCCTGTCTGGACCCTGTACTCGGCTCTGGTCAGATCAGTAAGCGTTCCGAGGGCGTTAAACGCCGCGCGGAGATAAGACGGGGCAGCGGGGGGCACCTCCGAGGCCGCGGGGCTGAAGCCGTGATCGGGCACCGCGCCGCCCAGCAGTGCGAGCACCGACAGGGGTGCAGCTGGCGGAACAGGCCTGCGGATGGGGGCGACGGGCGAGGGGCAGGCGGCTCCAGAACCGGGCAGGCCGGCGGCCG